TCTTTAGTCTAATGAAATCGGTGGAAAACGTAACATTTCATTATTGAGATTCCTGTCACATGTGTATCGTGGGTGTAAGCCGAAATTAATCTCCATATAAGGTTAGAACAACTCAGTCTATAACTTGATAATCATTTTTATGTTTATTAATTTTCAATTCGTATGTATTAATGTATTTAAGTACCTTTATTTATTATTGTAAAAAGGAATCTATTACTTGCATACTTAAAACTCATTTTCTTTATTCAATCAGTTCAGACAGAAAGCGGTTAGCAATAAAGTTAGATATATAAAACTACATTAAAATTAGGAAAGGAAAATGCTACCTATGTGAACATTGTGATAAAAATTTTGTTTGTAACTTACCATTTTTACAAATTTGTTTATGATTATCTACCTTTCTTAATTTCACTCACTGTGCACGAGCGCAGTTACTTCTCTAACCTGTAAATAGTTTTCGAGATGATTCTGCTAGGAGTAACTGTGACATAGAGAACTTACTCTGCGAAGCAAGTTTAACAATGGAAAAAATAACCAATCACAAATTAGAATTTTAATAACTATTTTTTTAATTTAAAAATTAATAAATAAAGGCTTTAATGAATGTAGACTTAATTTACTTCGACTCAAATGAAAGTATATCACTTCTTAGAAAGAATAATGATGATAATACTTTACAAATATTTAAGACTAATTAAAGGAATAATGCGAGGATAATGAAATATATAATTTATAGCTTCAATTTTGTCATTGTTGTAACAGAATATATATTTCTAACTATTTAGAATATACATTTCCAACTATTGCATTAATATAAATAATATTTGAAATATCAATAGAGCTTCATTACTATAAATTGTGATTCAGTTTATATTAATGCATTTAGATAAAAATAGTTCATTTGTGATTGTCTTAATAAAAAATGTTTTAGATAATGCACTATCACTGATCATTAGAAATATAAAAAAAATAAGTTCGATAATTGTGTGTATTGCTACCTATGGCGGTATAGTAAATAAGTTTATTCATCCATAGTTATATAGTAAATAGTAATATATTATAACTGAAAAAAGTCGTTATCATAAATAATCTTGTTATTAAACGTTCTATTAACACTTTTATTCATTGATAGTTATTAAATAGTGCATCTGTATTATCAATATTTATTAACGATAGTAGATGTTTCTACACTATACAATGAAAATCTAATTCTGAATACAATTTAATAACCATAGACTTAACAACAATTGGTATTTTAAACTGTTTTATCCTTTTAACAACATCTTTTGGTGAACTAACAACAGGTGGCGTTATTTTAAGGAAAAGGAACAATTTTTCATCTGCAAATATACGAAGTCAAAGAGGATTATAGTGTTCGTTAACATTGTGAAATGATAATATTAAAATTCGTGACCTCATTACGTGAATAGAATCTAGAATTCAACATTTATCGCATACTTATTTTTAAACTTAACTGTATTCTCCACAAGCTCAATCTGTATATATTTATATATACATCAAATGCCAGTGAACCACCTATTTCTTCGAGAATAGCTGATCTGCCTAATTTACTTTAGTCGTGTTTCTGCGTTTGAACGATGTACTCATTATTTTAAAATACAAAACCAAAAAGTGTATATTGTGTGCTGTTCAATACTCTTATTCTTAAGTGTCACCAAACAAATTTGTGCTGTTACCTATACTTTTGACAACGAGGTAAAAATAAAGGGTTATTTTCAATGTTAATGATTATTTTTTTAACGTTTCCTGAACATTAACAGTGTTTTTAATCCTTGTGTGGTACGATTAGAATAATGGCTCATTTTAACATAGATTTTAAGAATTTATTTATTTATACTTACAATAATATTAGATATATTATGAAATTCACGGTACTAAGGCATACAGTTTACTAACTGTCAATGCTTCAGTTGATCTTATCATTCATATTGGGGTGGTACATGTTAGACGACAATATTCATTGCTACTTATGTATACAATCCTACGCCCTATATTCAACTTAGGAGCAAGATGCTGACCTTACATCTTTGCACATGCGTAAAAATGTCTCCCACCTGATGACGATGAGCCAATGACAAATCGATATGTTCGAAATTTTCACGCGAAAGCTCGAAAGCTTTGACTATTCCTCTCAATAGTTAATAGTGAAATCTCGGCTTCGATGCGAGACAAATAGTAAGTAAACTGTTACGTCTGTCCTATTCGTGCTTACAGTGCTCCTGTACATCTTCAATTAAAATAAACAGATTGAAATATCATGTAATGCTTATGTGTCTGTAGTCCCGCCAGTTTCTTGAAAAAAATCAATATTTTACAATAATATTAAAGCGCCAATTTTTTAAACGTTATTAAAAATTATTTTTTAAATTGTATAATATGTAAAAGGTGTATTACAGAAGTGAAGATTTTAATTAAATATGACAGTATTTGGGTTCATTTTTTAGTTATATATGAACATAAAATTATGTTTGACAAAATGGAATGTCTTTTCGTTTTGCTTATATACAGTGTTATGTAAGATTTATCTTAAATATAATTCTTTAATATTTTGATAGTGCTTTCATATTTTTATACCATGAAGTACATGTGTGTATATATATATTTAATACTTAAATAATAATTTATGCTTTATTATGTGATTTAAATGAAATAAAAAAATTTATATCAATTTTTAATCATGGCGATCATAAAGATATTCAAACGGGAACATTTCGTCAAGTGCAAAGTACTTCTGTCGAGGATGTGTCAATTTGCAGTTTCCTCATTAGAAAGAGCACGATAATGTTACGTATGTTGCAGTGTCATTGTTTTAAAACAAAACAATAAAAGAATTCTGTATTAAATAAGTAAAAACAAAGAAATTATGTTCTTTGAATAGTTTTAAATTTGTTCAAATACATTACAAAAATAGTATAATAAAATAAATAAAGTGTATTTTAAAAATAATAAAATTGGTTCAAATATTTATATCATTTTATTTTTTATTTGTACTAATTTTAATAGCGGAAAGATATCTACATAACAAAATGATGTAAAATATGTTTTCAATGTCAAACAATTCTGAACAACTATTTATAACACTATCAGGTGGTTCAACGTAGATTTATGTACCCACTGGGTTGCATATAATGCATAACGTTTAATCTTATTGGGAAACATTCAAGTATGAAAATTGCTCTAAAGTTCAAGGAAAGAGAGAAGCATAAGATACAAAATCAATACAATGTAAATATCACAGTTAAATTTTTCTAAATTGTTGAAAGATGTGGAAAAGTTCATCATTATAAATTTCTTATCTAATTTTTTACGAACGATTTGTAAACTGCTGTATTAATTTACAGTTCTTAATGGAATTATTAATGTAATTAACTTTTTTAAAGCGATTTTTATTAAATACGATAAATCATCGATCGATTATTCTATTTTGTCTTTTGTTATTAATGAGTTGGTAATTCATTAAAATCTATATAAAGAAAAAACATATCTCATTAATTACAAGATTTCCTATGATCAAAGTAAAATAGAAATAATCAAAGTTTTTTTAATGTGAACATTTTTCTATATTTTCAATATAATCACATTACATTTCGAGCTATTTATTTGTTAGCTGCTTATTTAAATATTTTTCATTTATTATTATTAATGTTTTATATAGTATACGCTGTATACATGCAATGAAACTTCAATTATGTGAGCTACTTATTAAACAAATCGGTTAACTCTACAAAAAAAAGCAGAGAAAGGTAATGCAATAGTTATATATTGATTTTCAAAATTCCCCTTTAAATGCAAAATCAAATAATTATTACAGATACAGCTTCAATCTAATGAATATGTAAATACATACAATAATATACCCTTAAAGTAATTTTTATTATTATTGCAATTTTTACATGGCCCAAAAAGTTTTTATTATTTCGTGGTATCAAACACAATTATAATGCAATTTATTTTAAATATAAAAAGTTAAAAGCCAATGAAACGTGTTAATGATAAAATCTTAAAAGTCTTAAAAAGTACTGTTAGTCGATTGAGCCAATGAGCGGCTCATAAGCATAATAAAGAGTGAGACACCGAACTTGTTTACCTGAATAACTCTTAAATTATGCGTTGGTTTCAAAAGTATTACACAAACATTTCATGGTTGTCAGAAGAGCTTTTTACCGTTGCAACGGTTTAACAACAATAATTTGTTATATTTTTTTAATAAAATTAAATGTAGTGTGACATTCTAAATTAAAATGCATTAACATTTATTAACTTTGAATCCAATACTTGACGAAATATTTTCTTTTGCGCAAAATCAAGTTAGAAATTCGATATCAGCGAAGATTTTCATAACCCAGCAATACATACATAGATACTTGGCGATGTTTATCTCGCATTGTAGAATTACCTGCTTATAGAGATTGCCAAGTACCACTACGTAACTGAACATTGAAGTCTTTGTTGTTATCGAATTTCTAATTTAATTTTACACGAAGAAAATTTTCCATAAACGAAAGAAAGAAAATATTTGTCATAAGAAATATTGTATTTTATTTGAAAAAACGAAATTGCCTTGTGGATCTTGAAACTGCTTCTGTGCACAAAAAACGTAGGTATATTACAAACTGGTTTCAACAAAACCATGCAATTTTCGTATGTAACAATATTGTAAGCAACATATACTAAGCAAGTTATTCAGCTAAACAATTTACAAATTGAACTTTAGTTGCGATTTTAGACGCAGTTAAATTTTATTTTTCTTAATACTTCCAACAGTCTTTTTTCGATCTTCTATTTCTTCGTGAATTTTGCAGTGTTTCTTTATTCTCTAATCTGTTAACAATATTTTGCACTATAAGACAATTTAGAATATTTGAAATTTCCGAAAAAGATTCACTTTTTTAATATTTTATAATAATTTTTCGAATTACTAATATTCATACAATAGCACAGTAAACGATCTTGCGTGAACTCATATTGCATCAATATACCTAACATTTGTTTCCATTCCCATGACTTAATCCCAAAGAGTCTTTCATGTTTACCAACACAGGTGGTAACGCACGAAACTTTTGTCGTGGCAAAATCCCGTCGTAACAATTTTGTTTCATTTGGTGTTAACATATAATTTCATTAACTTTTCTTTTCGAACACATGTTACTGAATGTCTTGTGCAACAATGATATGTGTATATTAGAATACATTTAATAGCGCAAGGAACATTGCTTCTTTTATTTCTACACTGCGAGTGCACGAATTTTGCTGTTCCTTACCATAGACATTTCAGTCTGTATATGATTATATTACACATAATATACAAAGTATATGAATATTTGCTTCCCGTTGTACTACATAAGCGTAATTAATTAAAACGCTTATATCATTTTCGGTAGGACGAAAAAAAAAGAGTGTGTGCAGAAAGTTTTTGTAACGTACATTCGCAAACAGAACTCCCGTTAAATCATTACACAAACATGAAGACAATTTGGATAATCGGTGGACCGGGATGCGGCAAAGGAACTCAGTGTGAACGTATCATCGGAAAATATGGATTCTACCACATAAGCAGCGGTGATCTCTTGAGAGAAGAGGTTGCCAGTGGTAGTCCTAGAGGAGCTTCGCTTCAGGACTTGATGTCTAAAGGTCTATTTGTTCCCACGGTAAATAATATTTCATGTAAATGCACAGATAAATTACTAACGTGAATTCCTCAGAGAATTGGAAAACGTTGTTCCTCCACATATTATAATTTAACACTTTATCTACCGTAAGTCTATTAACACGTTGAATGTCACGGGGGTCATCAGTGACTCCTAGCCAAATCGAATTACTACAGTTCACTGAATTAAGCGATGATTATTTGAAAATATTTCTATATTATAAATCACGCTACCTAATGCGGTGACATTCAGCTAGATTAACATGCAATGATAATAATAATGCAATTAAATAAAATGATTTAATATTATATTTTTTTTTTATTTTGCGTATTCTGGTCTAGCAAGTCTTCCGGCGTTCAACATGTTAGCCAGTTAACTGTGCTGTGTAGTTAAATGGTGCTAACTTTTTCAATGATGAACTATTTAGTTTTTTAGATAAACATGTAATTCTTCTTCGTTTCACTTTAGTTTGTCGTTAGAATATATTATAAGTGCATTTGGCTTGCATTTGACGAGTATACAATTCATTTTTTTATTTTACTGCACTCACAACAAAATATTTTTGAAACTAAACTCCACACTTAACGGGTTAACCCCTCGCCTTACGATTTATTTTGAATTAAACATTTCTGCTTACGCTGTTTTATTTGCTCGTGACTCTGTGGATACGACTATTTTAAAGGAAATTGAAGTATTACAGCTTCAATGAAATTTATTTCTGAAAATGAGAAAAATATTTTAGGTAGGATATAGCATCTTTGTAAAATAATTTATGGAATCCAGTTTCGCACTGAGAACATGTGCGAGTGGGACTCGTTATTTTAGTTCAAGGAGTTAATCGGCTTTTCGATTTCATAGTAATTAGAAGGACATTTTTATTTTAATTTTAAATTCACAAAGTTACAAAGATTTTGAAGTTACAAAGCTTTGTAAGTGAAAACGTACGCTCCTACGCGATGACGAAAATCGTATTGGTAGTTAATGAGTGGTTGCCTTGATCAGAAGCAGCAAATAAAGTGTTAAGCGAATAGTCTATTACAAGTAAAGATTTTCCAAGTATAACACAACCAATGCACAACCATTGTTAATGTAAATTCTCGACAAAACTAGAAAACATTATCTTCATAAGTAGTATAACACAGGTCAATCATCCACCAAATAAAATAAATATTTGAATATAATGAACTGAATAATATGCATTAAGAATGTTTAACGTTTATATTTTTTAATAGAAACTCCATACTCTTTTACTCTGTAAGTTCGCTCCGTTTGAAAATAGTATTAACGTAACAAAAATAATATTTTTTTATTGATTTGGAAATACTGAAATAGAGTACTAGAGCAAAATATGATTCTCGTGATGTACGAACGAATCCCACTTTTCTTAGTGTGAAGATCATATGGTTTCCGGCAGGACATTGTGCTGGACCTTATAAGGGAACGGATGGAGAAGGCTAAAGCAGAAGGATCTACGAAAACTGGATTCCTTATCGACGGATACCCTCGTGAATTGGATCAAGGAATCCTCTTTGAGAAAAATGTAAGTGTTTCCGTGATAATTGAGGAATTTCTCTTAACCAGTTGACACCTTCAATGTCATGGGAGTCAGCGGTCAGCGATTATATATTAATCGTATTAAATGATCTGCAACTCAAACCTAACAGTGATACAAACTGAATGAATTGAAAGTTAATTCAAATGTATTGTAATTAACACGAGAATCTAGAGTGTTTTATATATCACTTTTCATTTCGTGGCAAGGATAAATAGAAACAATTATTAATTATTTGGTACCACAATTTTTACGTTACACTGTTTTCTAATTACTTACACTATTAAACATTTTTATTCGACATCAATCATCAAACTCTACTTATGTTGGTGCCATTAAGAAAAAATACATTTGCGTAGAGGAATCATTTAAAAACTTCTACAAGCGGTAGATAAAAAGTTCATGAAATAGTTTTTTTCTCTTCTATATTTGTGGTCTTTCGTTGATTTAGACGTCACTGACGTTTAGTTGCTGGTTTAATTTACACATAGTTCAAGTTTCAACGTCACGTGACTAATCGTTTACACGTATTGACGTTTTTATTAGTCACGTGCTATTATTCATTGTCAGAAAACTCGTTAAATGACTGACAATTCTTTTTCTTTCAAGTTTCTTGTAAAAGTCGAAAGATTACCGAAATTTGTTTGAATTTTGAAAGTGAAAACGAAGGTTGATAATTGTCCTGGCCAATCTTCCTTATTCATTTGATTTCGCCTCCTGTGAAGTATTTAAAAACTTGCTATAGGGAATACAGAAAGAGAAACGGTGAGGATTTGGACAAATCTTTCAAAGAATAAGTCGTATCATTGCGTCCATGAATGGAAAAACCGCTGAAGTAAATGCACAGGTACGAAGGTTGGCTACTTCGACCGTGACAATTTAAAATAAATATTTATAAATTTTTTCACGAATTTTTCGTCCTGTTTTAGGACTTGGGAATTTGTAACAAAAGAAACAAATTTATTTATATTGATATAAATTATGTTTTAGAAAGTTATTCTTTCTATAGAGAGAGGAGAGAGAAAGAGATAGCATAATAGAAAATAACAAACTTTACTTCGAAAAATGTAAATAATTTTTAAAGATCCATTTCATTATTTTCAAGAAATTTTAATGAAATAGTCGTTATAATTCAGGTCTGTCCGGTTGATGCAATAATTTTCTTCGACGTGTCGGGTGAAACTATGAAGACGAGGCTGTTAGGGCGTGCAGCTGTCTCACAAAGGGCCGATGATAACGAGGAAACAATCAAGAAGAGAATCGAAATATTTAGCGTTAAAAACGGGGAAATTGTAGAACATTATAAAGATAAAGTTATTAAAGTAAGTATTAGTGGGATAGTTTGTTAAAAGAAGTAGAGGCATAAATTAACTTTAAACCTTTTTGTCTAGATCAATGCCGAAGGCGCCATTGATGATATATTCGGTCAGGTGACGAAAGCACTTGATCCTTTGGTAGCTTAAATTCTAACAGAGTTTTATGTAATACATTAATTCAAATTGATTTTCAATAGCTTTATTCTTGCGATTTCGAGCACAAGCTATACATTCATCTGTATTATAAATGATATTTCTAAATTTCTAGGAAAGTTATATAGCGACGTTAATTTGTTAAATGACTTAATTTGACGTAAATTACAAACAAATCTGAAGTACCTGTTTCCATAATAATAATATAGATACAATACTTATGTATAAAATGGTTTAATACACTGTTGAATGCACCTGTTACTATAATGATATTGTTACATTGCTCATTTTAGTGACTGACTAAGTATCAATTAAAATCTATATTCTACACACATTGATAATTAATTTATTTAAAAAAATATTCCTTTTCATAATAATACATAAGAAGTTTTATTTTAATTAGATTTTCATAAAATTACAACGTCAGTATTTATTTTTAAGATATTTTTAAACTTTCATTACATTATATTAATTGGTTGCAATTATTCTTAGTTGTGTATTCATTAGTATAATCATCGTGAATCACTTTTCTAATCTATATCATTTGTTTATGCGTTTTCTTAATTAAAAACGTCGAATGAAACTTATATCATAAAAAATACTAATATTCTAATACAACAGATTTTAATACCTACTAATTGTACAAATTAGGATAGAATCTATATTGTTGATACATCACGTTGCCATACAAGTTAATTACTGTTATACAATACGAGTCAGCTACTGTGTTCAATTATAATGGAGTAACTCATGCATGTTCAATCGAATCATTCAGTCAAGTGAGCTCGTTTCTAAAACGTTAAAAATGAATCAAGTATCTTTAATTTTTATGTTTTTATCAGTGTATTTAATAATGAACATAATTTTGTGCGATCGTTGTTGCCGAATCAGTTCACGACAACTATCATATTATAAACTAATTAAATCGAAAGTTCGTTCAAATAATTTAATACTATCGAGAACAGCTGTACGAAATGTGAACGAGTGCAAAGAATTTGCTTTGACCAAGAGAGCTTTGGCTTTCAATTATGGCTTAGAAAATAATCCTTATGGTAAGATAATATATGATTATAAAGATCATTCTTAACTATTTTTACGTAAGTATAGTTACTTACATTATCTTGGAGTAGTTTATTAAGTTTACTTTTACATAGTAGGTATATTGTAAACGCACAACATCGGCAATATAAATATTAGAGAGCGATTAAAATAGCGAATAATAATTATAAATATTGAGCAGTAGATATTTAGTAAATTTTTCAAATTTTTGTAGATTAATTCATAAGAATAATAAATAAATAATTACTTATTTCTTCATATATTAGTTTTATTATTTATTTATAAAAAATTTCATTTTACAGTGTTTTACACATTCACAGAAGCTATATATGCAGAAAATCTGACAATTAAATTTCAATTACGAATAAACGGCTAATAATTATAAATTACAAATGTAGTGTATAGATATAGATTAATATCACTAATTATTAATAATCATTATAGTATGTTAGAAAAACATAAAAAATAATTATTGCTTAATTTTCCATTGACCGGTTATTATTAATTACTTGCGATAATATGTTTGATGGACTTTTACATCAGAAATTGTTAAAAATATATAAAATACGTTTTTTTTTAAACTAACCCATATTTATTGATATTGTAAAGATTCAAAAGTAAAAATCTGTTTATTGATACAGAATGGGATTTTAATACGCAAAACAAGCAACGTATAGGAATAATTAAAATTTGCCAAGCACTTCAGTGTCCAGAACTCCATAATTTTACTGTTTTTCTCAAGGATAAAAATTACAGATATTACAGCATGTACCCTAGCTCTATTTTACCTGGTAAATATTTTTAAACACAGATATTTCAAACATTATTGTACACATATTAATAACAAAAGTTTAGAATAAAAACATGATTGATAAGTATATTACCTCAGACTATACTACTTAGCATATTTATTACGTGAAATGATCATATTTATATAAATGTTCCAGCAGAGATAAGAACATTGATAAACCATATTAATAGAGTATGTGCTATCTGTGATATAATGTTATTTATGTCTTATTTATAATATAAATGATAAATTAATATTAGTAAACCTTTAAAATGAAAATAATGATGAAATATTTAGTATACTCAATACATGTATTTCAAGTATAAGTGTAATTAAATCTCTATAACTTACTTTTAGGCCCAAATTTTACGCTGATTTGTATTCCCAAGACAGGTGTATTCGTATTTTCGAGAAATTATTTGAATTATAGCCAAGCACAAATTTCTTGCCAGAAAATGAATTCATCTCTTGCACACATAATTAGTGACGAGCGTACAGACGGTCTGGCGAAATATATTTCTCAAAATACACCCACTTTCGTTGGACTCAGTAACCGTGACCATGAGAAAATTTGGAAAAACGAATTTGGTAATTATCATTCTTTGTAAAAAACTTTGAATCGTTAACTTATATTTCTTTTTATTATTAAAGAAAATGATTAATTTGTTAGTGACAGTATAATATTATTGTATATATTATCATATCTTAATAGCTCATAAGTTAAACTTATTATCTCTTGCTACCTCTAATAGTTATTTATTATTACTTAACACGTTGAATGCCATGGGGGTCAACGGTGACCCCCGCCCAAATTCAGGCACTGTAATTCTCCCAATTAAACGATGATTACATCAAAACATTCCTATATTGTAAATAATGCTACCTAATGCGGGGACATTCAGCAAAACAAACCTGCGATAATAACAACGCAATTCAATGAAATCATTTAATATTGTACTTTTTTCATTTCGCATATTCTGCACCTTAAAATCGTGCGGCATTCAACGTGTTAAACACAATCATTAATTGTCAATATAAGAACATAATAATTTGATATGTATATATTACTACCTATAAATATTTACCCACTCCTCTTTCCATTTATTTCACTACATTAAAAAAATATACAGAAATTAGTATAAATTTTGATTGTAATAATAACAGTAAAATAAAGTTTATGACTACTCACTAAGAATTTTCGAAATAAAGTTTAAAGTTAAGAAACTAAATACTTTAATACCGAAAAGGTGAGGGTGGAGTAAACAAGTATTTACAAGCGATATCATAACTGCATTTTACCCACTTTCATTTTATTATCGTGTTTAATTATTATTAAAAATTAGCATAGTATTTGAAGTGAGTTAGCGTGTAATATAATATTTTATAAATATTCTAAAATAAAATTGTAATTAATTAGATCTATATAAATACTGCAAATCTAAATTACTATGATATTTAATTTCACACTAAATATCTGTAATATAATTTTTAGATGAACCACTTTCTTGTTTTAAATATCGAGCATGGGGTGAAGGGGAACCATCACATACGCGGGGATGTGTTAGTATTATGAAATCATCTAAAGCAGAAGGTAATCCCTTTTGGAAAGTTGTACCATGTGACAGTCAATTACATTTTATTTGTGAAATTTCACCAATTTATCAATCTTCGTATAATCAAAAACACAATAGATTATAAATAAGATACTTATACTGATACGAAAATGCTTAAATAAAATGTATTTAAAGTAAATTATGAACTGTGACAAATGTTATTTAATACAATATGTTAAAAATAAAATTTTCGTATTAATAAAGCAAATTTTTGTGATAAATATATTATATTTCTTTCACAAAGTAAAGTGTAAATTTATGCAATAAAATTACAAATATTAATTATACAAGATAAGGTATTGAATTTAACAGAAATCCCTAAATATATCTATTATCCATAGTTTTATAAAAAAATCCTGTAGAACAAAATTACATTATTTTCGGGGACTTGTGCAATTATACAAAAATTTATTCTCTAGGTCATTTTTTAATGTATCTGCAAGGTTTTTTTAAAGAAATATTAATATTTTTTTCGTAATTTAAATTATTATTATTACACGTATTGCTTAAAATTGTATAACTTTATCCTAAAGAGTTTTATTATATGGCTACAAATAAAGGAGACATTCGTCCCGTATATTGGTGTGCAATATGTAACTAGAAATATCTATTTTGTTATTAGTAAGAGAAGATATATTCCAATAAATTATGTACAGATTTGAGTTGATCGGGATACATGCTTTATAAGAGACAAATATACAATTTTCGTTTTGCAAAGATTATATACACATATACAATCTTAAGTCTATGTCTATATTGTTGAAGGAATTGTGCTTTCTGCAATCACTTTCTTATCACTTATTACATCTTTAATGGAGTAATTACTTAATAACTAAGAGAGAGTTGTTAAATTGTTAAAAATCTTGGTAGAATTCCAGAAGATTATATATGAAGATGCTATTATTTGATTACATTGATGACTGATTGTTCGGTAACAGATGGTATAAGCATAAATTGAAAAATTCAAATTTTAAGATTTGTTTCCATCGTATAAGCAATACGTACAAACATTTACAAATAGTAATTCAGTTTTATGTCATTTATATCAAAATTCATTGTAAATATTTATATTTTCCTATATGTTGATAAATTTTATTTTTTACTTATCGTTTATGCATGTATGCTAACAAATCAAAGAATTTTTTAGATTTAAATGTTTCAAAAGTGACAAACAATGACATGCTTCATAATTTTTTAAAGACAAATCATTAATCACTATACGCATGCTTCAAAGAACTAGGAATTACAATCTTAACAAATAAAAGCAATTAACGTGCATTTTATAATTAATTTTTTAATTCAAGTATTTCATTGCAAACGAAACATAAAATAATAAGAAAGTAAGAAGTGTTTTGTACAAGTCAAGCATTCATAATAGTCTTTTACTAATTTAAAAATGCATGTTAATGGCACACATTTTATTATTTCACTTTAATAATACATTAAACAGTTTATAAAGATCGTTTCATACATGTACAGGACAGTTAGTTCTATCAATAGTCAGGAGATGCTTTTATTTACAGGCATGAACCACCGATGAATCTCCACATAAGGTTCTTATTTTATGATAACTCATAGATAAGTGATAAGCAGTGAATGTAAACTGATAATATCGATCAATACAATGTAACACGGTTGTTATTGTAATTCATTCATTCAATAAAAGTATGTTCTATTATTTTAGTAAAATATAATAATAAGGTATTGTTTTTCTTGTTACATACATAATATATTTGTGAAAAATGTAAAAATATAATTTTATTAATTATTAACTAGAATTTTCAGTTTTCCCAATAATTTCATCAATCGCATAGGTGTATTTTGCGATGCAAAATTATTAAGTAATATTATGATCTATAACTGAATCATCTTACCATAGTTGATAAAAATATTTAAATAAGCAGTATGATTTATTAATGAGTTACCATATTGTTCAAAGAATACATTTATGTAAATGATAAAGTAACCAAGAGAGAAGTAAATATTTAATAATGATAAAAAATATATTAGTAACATTAAATTATTTTGATTCTATGATAAAAACAAGTACCGTCATATAGAAACTCGTTGCCGTCCTGTACATGTAAAGGAATATTTGAAATTTTAGTATTACAGTAAGCTGGAAAGAAGACATTGTATAAAATTGACAAAATACAACCAACAGTATATACAAAACTGAAAAATTACTTTTCATTTTACTTAAAACTATTATTGTCATAAATTATCTTTGTAAATAGAAGTCATAATAAATATACTTCTAAATAAAACTCTTACATCAAAGTATTCGTCAAGTTGTAATAATACTTTTTAATAGTACAAAGAAATTTATTAATGATATTAAGTGGTGAACATAAATTAAGTTTTTTAATAAATTGATATCAGTTATTGGACCTTTAAAGATGGTTTATGCAGTATGAACCAACTCAATTATAAATTTATACAATCAAAATATTTTTCCTAGGATGTTTTAAGAACTTTTTATAGTATTTTCATTTTCTTACAAAAGTATGAAAGTTTAAAAATTGTTAAAACCATGGCAAATATATAATTTGACTGAAAATTATTGTTAACTTATGTAATTAATATTCATTTATAAATAAAACGTTTTATCTATTTGTAACATTTAATCAACAAAATTACTGGACATCAACATAACATAACATATGTATATATATAATATATATATACTATAACACATATTTTTAAAAATGGACAAAAAATAATCATT